TTTCCAACCTGTGACTTTGAGTCTGTGTGTGTCCCTTGAAGTGAGATGTGTCTCCTGGATGCAGCAAATAATGGGGTCTTGGCTTCTTATCCAGTCTATGATTTGTCTTTTCAGTGGTGCATTTAATCCATTCACATTCAGACTGATTATTGAAATATGATTGTTTCTCCCTGTCATGAGGTTTTTTATAAAGTTTTTCCTTTGCTTGCTTTCTTTTGGTTTTGGGTTTAATGTATGTGTGCGTTTTCAAATTTCTTGTTGTGCTGTGTTCTCTGCTGATTCTAACCTCTGCTGTTCTCTTGGGAAGTGTGTGGTCAATCTTTTTCTTCTTTCTTCTGTGCTTAATACCGTTGTATGTGTCTCTTGCAGAGATGGTCTGGAAACTGCATAATATCTTAGGGATTGGATGTCTGGGAAGGATTTTTTTTTCTTCTTTCTTTTTTTTTTATTATGAAGTTGTGGAGTACAGTTAAGGGTTAGGTATACAATTGTGTTTCATTCAGGCACCCTGTTGATATGGGGTGTTTCCCTGTTCCCAGACAGATATTTGCTACTATTAATCTTATCTCCCTCCCCCCACCATAGTTTCCCAGTACGGTCAGTCATTTTCGTATAGTATTGCATTGGATGTTTAAGGTCCATTATATGAGTGAGAACATGTGATACTCGGATCTTTGTTTCTGTGAGAGGTCACTCAGTATTATAGACTCTAGTTACATCCAGGTTGCTGCGAAATTCGTGATTTTGTCTTTTTTATGTCTGTGTAGTATTCCATCGTGTATATGTACCACATTTTAAAAATCCAGTCCTCTTTTGATGGGCAGCATGGCTGTTTTCAGGTTCTTGCTATTGTGAACAATGCTGCGATAAACATGCGTGTGCAGGTATCTTTTTTATAGAGTGATTTGTGTTCTTCAGGATATATTCCCAGTAGGGGGATTGCGGGGTCATATGGGAGGTTGGTATTTAGAGCTTTTAAGAATCGCCACACTGCTTTCCACAGAGGTTGCACTAGTTTACACTCCCACCAACAGTGTAGAAGTGTTCACTTTTCACCACACCCTCTCCAGCAGCTGTTATTTTTTGAGTTGTTGATAATTGCCATTCTGACTGGGGTTAGGTGGTATCTCAGTGTAGTTTTGATTTGCATCTCCCTGATGATTAGTGACGTTGAACATTTCTTCATGTGTTTGTTGGCTGCTCGGATGTCTTCCTTTGTGAAGTGTCTGTTCATATCTTTTGCCCATTTTATAATGGGGTTGTTTGTTTTTTTCCCTTCAGCTCATTTGAGTTCTTTGTAGATCCCGGATGTTAAGCCATTGTTGGACCTGGAGTTGGCAAATACTTTTTCCCAGTCTGTAGGCTGTCTCCCTGATCTCTTGATGGTTTCTTTGGCTTTGCAGAAGCTTGTCAATTTAAAAAGGTCCCACTTATCTATTTTCTCTCTTATGAGCTGTGGGTATTGGGTTTTCTTCAGGAATTGGATGCCAGTTCCGATTTCCATGAGGGTTTTTCCTTCATTTTCTAAGGTTCTTATGGTTTGAGGTTTTACATTTAGGTCTCTGATCCATTTGGAATTAACCTTTGTGCATGGGGATAGATAGGGGTCCTGTTTCAATCTTCTGCATGTGGTCAGCCAGTTTTCCCAGCACCATTTACTGAATAGGTTCTCCTCTCCCCAGTGGTAGGTGGTGGAGGCTTTGTCAAAGATGAGTTGGTTGAGAAATTGAGGTTTTACTTCTAGGATCTCAATTCTATTCCATTGATCTATATGCTTGTTCCTATACCAATACCAAGCTGTTTTGATGATTGTAGCCTTATAGTAAAGTTTAAAGTCTGGTAGTGTGATACCACCTGCTTTGTTTTTTTTTTTTTTCTGAGGATTGTTCTGGCTATTCTTGGACGTTTGTGTTTCCATATGAATTCCTGCATTGTTTTTTCTATGTCTGAGAAGAATGTTGCTGGAAATTTGATGGGTATTGCATTGAATTTGTAGATTGCCTTAGGTGAGATGGACATCTTCACAATGTTGAT